TTCTTCAGACAGTTTACCCTAAGCACAGTTCAATACATACACCTTATTAGTTAATTTTTAATAACCATAACCTCAAACCTTATCAAAAAAATTAAGAGTTGCCTTTCCCGCTGCAGCCTATTAAAGTTCACGTACGGTAATCTATAGCCCACGTGTTACGTATTGCATTTATATGAAATTAAACTCCCTCGTTTAAAATAATATTAACACTAATATCGTTATTGAGTAGACGTAATTTGATAACCTGGATAAATTCGTCACTTTTTAAAAAAAAATGTAATTTGCTAATGGATCAGTTACTTGCTTAGTTCCATTATCTATTAAGATATACCGCGGTTAAAACCATATGCTGTCTTAGAATATGAAGAATGCTTTTAGTCTTAAGCCAAAATTGATGTAGAGGAGTTTTTTTTTAATTTAAAATAACAAGTCATTTAAAAGTTCACCTGATCGTATGTTAATACTGTAGTAGTCTTTAACCTCCTGTAACTAATTTTAAACAAAGAACGTTTGTGTATGTCCATTTGCAATCGTTTTTTAAATTTATTTGCTACACATGTGTTAGCGAAGAAGTAGGCAAGCGCAGTGTTGCCAACTCTATGGACTAAATGTTATAGTACATTTTTTTAGTATATTTTTATTTATTCTCACAATTTAAATTAACAAGTTAGAGTATAAACAGTGTACACTATGGGCTGAGAGTCTGGTGTCTATACTAGGCAACTAGTACAATTGAACATATAACAAAAATTATACGTAACAGAAAGAATTTCTCCAAAAATATTGATCTCTAATCTATCTAAAAGTCCAATCTGAAAACAAAAACTTTCGATCCTCTTTAAAAATCTGAATCTCTGCGGATTTTTGAAATAGTATCTACGAAATTGTGCGGAATTTTTATATCAATCTACGGATTTGGAAAAATTCGAGTTGACAATACTGGGCAAGCGTTCCAAAAACGTTACGGTAAAAGTTTATTTTTAACTTTACTTTTAATTATTTTACGCCAAGCTCAGGGTAATTACTAGCATATTATACGTAATTACAATGCTAAGATTACAATGAATCTTTAATCTTGTGAAGTACACCTTTTACTTCAGCAATGACCTTTCAAACAAGAATTATGTAATAATTTTTATAGATAATGTTTACTATCTTGGGCCAGTTTTCACCATGTTTATTATATAAATGACTGTACACAGCCGAGGGAGAAAATCGGAAGAAAAATAATATATACCTACTAATTCCATTTATCCACCCCGTCTGCGGTGTAGGGTTGCCAAGTCTTAAAACCGAAAAGTCGGACAGACCAGCGAGCTTAGCCGAACATTTTGGTAATAAGGTCGGACAATTGAATAAAACTTAATTTACGGATTCTATCGCGTTTATTTAACTAATCATTATCACTACTAATATAAACTATAATTTAAGAAATCATTAAGGTCGGACAACCTTAATTTTTTAGCCTTAGTAACATATTTTTTTTAAAGTAACAATGCTTTTTATTATTTACCATATCTTATGAAATAAAAAGAAAATTGAATAAATCAGTCTTCTTTATTATCAATCATTCACTATTAACTTCGAAAGTTGCAATACTACGTTATATACGTAGTAGTGAAATGATGTAAAAAATGGTCAAATTTAAAATGCCTAACAAATGCCGGACAGCCCCGGACGCCGTCTAATTTGGCCGGACACGCAACTGAAAAGCCCGACTGTGCCCGGCTTTATCTGGCCGTCTGGAAACGCTACTGGGGTGGATAGATGAACACGCGTTTCCGAGTATACACCCGTTATGGTGAATAGACGAAAAAAACCAAGTTACTGCTGATTATGGACCGTCTCATTGCTTGTTTAATAGTGGAGATCTTTGGCATGGTTGTCACGCATGACAAAGAGGTTGGAAAACACTGTTATTTTTAGTCGTCATTAGGAAGACGTGCACGCTGCAGCCTACCTTTTTTTATATAGGATAGGATGACAAACGAGCACACAGTCCACCTGATTGGTAAGTGGTTGCTGCGGCCCATAGACATCTACATCTATCCTCGATTACGAATCAAAATGCAGATGCGTTGTCATCCGTGAGGACTAAGATGGAATGCCTCGTTTCCAGTAAAAAGGGTCTCTGGTTCTCTACACTCACCATACGAAACACAGCAGCATTAAGCTACTATTTTACGCTGGTATTCTATGAGAGAGTGGTCCTTCTCCGGTCGAGCCGACCCATTCGCGCTACAACTATACCACTAATATAACTGCAGCATGGCTCTACCACGTATAAAACCTCCTAATGTGTTTTCATCTGTCGCCTGTTACGACATCCACGGGATGATATGGGGAGTGGGCATTCTAACACCACTGCAACACGATCACTACACAATAGAAATTATATAAAACTTATTAAATAAAAGACAAATATCACATGAAGAGCTTTATTAAACAAAAGCAAATTGTCTAAGAAGAAAAATTCGAACCGGTTAACTCAAGTCTACTTACTTACTAACATTTTTTTTTAAAAAATACTAGAACAGTAATCACAGGCTGAAAAAATGTCTATTAAAATTGTAAAACGTTATAACGTCTGTCACATTGTAAAACTTTGCTAACTAGATATTAAGTGATATAAACGTGCACCGACTTATTAAGTTAATAAGACAAATAATTTTCGATCTTTCATAGGGAATTTATATACTTAGAAATAACAAACACGTCGTGTTCCAATAATTCAAAGGTACGTTCGTCATATTCAAGTAAATCCAAGTTTCTTGTAATAATTTGCGACCACACCGGAACCGGTTTGTAGCCGACGCCCCCCCCCCCCCTAATCACATCGTCAACAACTACTATAGCATACTGACCATTTATATATTCATTATACAACATAGAAATCCTAGGGTTTCCATTAAGGGGAAATATAACCTCAAATGGCTTAGTAAGATCCTCCGTTGTGCCGAAAATATTGCAGCATTAATTTTGAAATAAATATATGGTAAAGTTGAGGAAATCGAAAACACGATTCCGTAAAATTTTCTCGATAGAAAAAAATCCAAAGTTACCTCCAAACTGAAAAATAAACCGCTGCTATTCATAAAATACTTTAAATTAGATCATGAGACTTTGCATACTAACTGAACTAACTATAAAGCAGAGCTTATGTTATTTACTTTTTTTAAATTGCCATTATTTTCACTATAAAAAGAAATTACCTAAACTATCGGCGTCCTGAAGCTTGCTTTACCCTATATTTATTTCAAAATTAATGCTGCAATATTTTCAGTATTACGGAGGATCTTGCTAAGCCATTAGAGGTTATATTTCCCCTTAAGTGCGTTATCAGAATCAATATAAAAACTATCCAGGTAAGATTATCTCTGTGTATGAAAAGTGTCCGTCGAATTGCGTTAAATTAGGGTAGCGCTACAATAGTAGTAGGGTAAATTTTAAAAACATTTTTATTTTTAAAAAAAGTTGGACTATTTTAAAGTTGTAACTAATAATTACTATTACTATTATATGTTATGTATGTTATTATTAGTGATCGGATAATCGGATGCATATTTACCTAAAGTGTAGGTGTTGGCTATTATGGAATGCACTTTACTTTTGTATCGAAAAAACCCCAGGATTTCGGAAATCGCTTGTAGATAAATTTACTTATTTTAAGGTGTTGGATAATAATGGAAAGCACTTATGTACCGAAAAAATCACGGGATTTTGGTATCTACAAATTTACTGTTTTTATTATAGAATGCCAAATCGGGTGTAGGTATATTTACCTATTTTAACTTTTATATATATAAAGAAACTAGAAATAATAACTTCCTCTTAATTTTTTTAAAATAACACCCACTGTTTTTTTTTAACAAATACCACACGCTACAGTCCACGTTTCCTCACCATGGTAGAGACTATTTTCGCGTTTCTGTATCTTCTGGAATCGCTGGATTTGTATTTTAAAAAATATGTTTTAAGAAGCCGCTTCCATAATTTCCTAGACAAAAATGACTATTTTAAGGTAAATATGCATCCGATTATCCGATCACTATATATTTAAAAAAATATTTGTGGACTACGTGAATAGTTGAAATTTTGCAAACTGTACTGTAAATAACGTAGTCACCAAAAATATTCAATTTTTTAACTCGTCGCACTTAAATTCATCAACAAATCATCTATATATCTGTATCTACGCTAGCGCCCCGCCGTTCTGAAACGATTTTGAACTGCTATACTGAAGGTACCCTTAAGGTTCTCCTTACCTCTACAAACTTGAACATAATAAAATTATATTAAATTTAAATAAATTTTTATCTGCTAATTGTATCTGGTTTTATTGCCTATAATAAACATCGGTAAAGCAGGTTCTACGATAATACTTCTCGGTTAATACTTAGGTTATAGGGTGACAAACGGGCACACAGTCATAATTACAGACATTACCTACGCTCCATGGAAGCGATAGGGTTTTGACTTTTAATGTTTTTGATATTTATTTTACATTTTTGTTACGTAGTGATCAATCAATGGAATTCAAATAATTAGCTTACAAATACAATTTAAGTAAGTAAATTTAATGGCGACAGTTAATCTCAGCAAAGGACAATAGTTTAAACACGGAAAACAATTTAATATTAACATACAACAACTTGTAGATCTGTATATATAATATATGAAGGTTACAGGGGCAAAACAAGAAATGTCACAAAAAATCCAAAAGTCAGTTTATGATGGCAACATTCTCATTTCTCAGTGTATTTTTATTTGGCATTATACAAAAAGCGTAAAAACAAGCATTGTCAGATGTATTACTAGAATTTCAAAATTGTGTGCAGGAACAAAACAGGGAAGGTCCATGTTGTAACGGAACGTAAGAAGGAATGTCCTAGCTGTCAAAATATTTAAGTCAACTTTGAGGTTATCTCGAGTGTTTGTTCGGAGTTGCTGTTTGTGATTTGAATAGATATTAATTGTTATTTCGATTTACCGCTGTAAAAATGAGTAATAGTGATGAAGAAATCAATAACACTTTTGTGCATAACACAAAGAAACGAAAGAAAACAGGAAGAATGCGTGAAGTGATGAAAAAATTGAGAGTTTCTACGCACGAGCCAGGAGATGATTGCAGGTGTAAAAGATTGAAATGTTTTGATAGAATATCATCTGAGCAACGTGCAAAACTACTTAAAGACTTCAACAGCATGAACTACACAGATGAACAAAATATATACTTATGTGGCTTGATGAATGTGTGTTCAATAAAAAGGAGGCGAAGTAGAAAAACAGAAGAAATGGATGCTAATTTCCATCAAACGCATTTCACTTACAAAGTGAGGGTGATAGAAAATGATGAGACAGAAGAAGAACCTGTTTGCTACAAAGCATTTTTATCCATATTTGGCATTACCAAAGGAACACTTGAACATCTTCAAAAGTCATTGAAAATGTCAGGTACTGCACCAAGTGACAAAAGAGGCAAGCCAGGTTCAAACAAGAGATTAGACAATAACATTAAAGATTTGATATGTAATCATATAAAATCCTTTAAAGGATGGCAAAGTCACTACAGCTTGAATGATACAAAAAAAGAATATCTACCTGAGGACCTAAACATAAAGAAAATGTATAAGTTGTACTTAGATGCATACGAGTCACAAAATCATGTATCTTATGAAACTTACAGAACCATCTTTAATACAGAGTTTAATATATCATTTGGCTATCCCAGGACTGATACCTGTAGTGCTTGTGATGAATTCAAAATAAAAGCGAAGGCATTGAGAGCTGAAGGAAATTAGCACAAGAAAAAGGCTCAAACATTTTATGATCGTAAGAAAAATGCAAGAATCAAGAGCAAAACAGATGTGGAATTTCAAGCAATTGCCATGGACTACCAGAAGAATGTGTCGTTGCCAAACATCACCACAAGCGATGTCTATTACAATAGTCAATTATCAATGTACTCTTTTAATATTCATGCATTGGGTGATGCAAGCTCCTTTTTTTATACCTATCCAGAAACCTGTGGACGTAAGGGTTCAGACGAAGTGGTTTCATTTCTGTTTCAATATTTAACAAACCACCTGGATAGTCGTGTAAAGCATTTAGAAATATTTTGTGATTCAGCAGGTGGACAGAACAAGAACTACACAGTGATAAGGTTTATTCATTTTGTTGTCCATAAAATGAAACTTTTAGATTCTATCAAAATTACTTATCCAATACGAGGACATTCGTATTTGCGACATGCGATAAAAATATGGGCCTAATCAATCTAAAAGCTCACATTGAAGTTCCATACTAGTGGTATGATTTGCTGAGAGTAAGTCGCCAAAGACCCAAACTCTTTGAGGTGATTGAGGTAGGAATAGGTGAACACATAAGAAAATTTACAATTTAAAAAAAAATCTATACATGAAAAAATGCTCATTTCCTATTCAGTCCCAAAGAGAATTGAAGTGTGTACGAGAACACCCTAGAGTTATTTTACACAGAAGTAATTATAATGGTTTATGGGAGAAATCACCTATTGTGGCAAAAAAGGAACCCGGGTCAAATGACACATCAAATGAATTTGAATTGCCAGATTTTGCCCATATCAATTTCTTACCCATTAGTGCAGAAAAGTACAATGACTTAATGGATTTAAAAAGATTTTGTTCTGAGGGGGCCCAATCCTACTTTGAAAGCATTCCTCATGCATAATCAGCAATGCATTTAGGTAGTTGGACATTCCTTGTATGGGAGACACTGGACATTCCCGGTTTTTGTATATTATAAAAGTGAACTACTTTAATTTTTTATTATTTTCAATTTTTTATTTCCATAAAAGTATTTTTTCTTTCTTAAATTAACACTTTAAAAGGTAAACTTAACTTTTTATTAGCAGTGTATTAAGGCCGAATACGAAGAGAACTGGCGAAAATTAATGTATTTCTCTTGAATAGAACTTTGTCCTGAAGTAATTCTAAGCTTTAAAACATTTTTGTAGGTTTATTCGGGTCCTTCACAAGGTGACCGTCATTTTAAAATTTTAAAATAAATGAATATACCAACAAATAAAAAAATGTTAAGAAATGATATATAAAATTATTGTTCTTCCAAAACTCTGTGAATTTTAATTTAGGAAAAATTCTTTTACGTAAAAATGTTTGTATTGTGATTCCGAAGGTACCTGCTATCTTTATTTTCGATACAAAATATTATTTATTAACATAATTCGTTTTAATTAAAAACACCTAATAATAATATCGTATATTGCCAGATAAAAGTTTGCCGTAATAAATTACCAGGCGCTTCGACGTGTGACGTAAGGTAACAACAGTCGATGTGTCTGTAGCGAAAATCGTTAATTTAGTGTTTTATATGCGTTTAAGTGACTATAAATGTAAATATGGGTAGGAAAAGAAATAAATGTTACCTAAGTGGTAAAACAAAGAGAGTTTATCGCATGAACGCTGCTCGAATGTTGTATTTTGAGGTTAATATTTATATTTTTGTAAGGTAATTTTTTGTTTGAGGCTGCCTAATAGGCTGCATTTTTACTCATTTACATTAGCCAAACCGATCATTTATACTTTTCTAGTTTCAAGTGAGAAACACTAAAAATGTAAATATCAAGACCCAGTCGATATATACAAATAATGTCATAGTCAATGTATTGTCCGAAAGCATGGGGTAAGTACATAATTAAGAAAAACCGAAATACTTCGGATGTGAAGTGTTTGACCAGTCGGAGTAGTCTTGTGAGAATTTACATACACAGTACCTATCCCCACTTTGGGGCAATCACCGACTTTTTAGTTTTTTTTATTTATTATTTATGCAATTTGCATTACGGCATCTTGTAAGACTCACAAGAACAAACATTTTCAGTTATATGAGGTTCTTTACGTACGATGCACCAATGAAAAAAAAATCTTTATCAATTCAATAACTTTTCGAACAATATTTTATAACGAATAAAGTACAGAATTTATAATATATAGGAACTAATATTATAAATAAGAAAAATTTATTTAAGAAGTAAGCAATGCTCTCTGTGTTGTTCATTACTCTGCATACTGAGCTAGCTCAGTCAAATATAATAAAGCCGTACGGGCTTTGATTATACATGTCTGTATAAACAAAGCGTACTGGCGGCGCGTGGTTTGCTGCGAAACGAGCAAGGTCATTCGCGTCGTATTCGGCCTTAGCTCCCAGGCTCTGACAGCGCGCGACATGTTATACTCCCGTTCGCTCGGGACCTTAATGGCGGGAAAATTTGTAAGTTAGAAAATTTTTGCTATATTGCAAATTTTGCTATATTTTCACTTTGAGACAATATTTATGGATAAAACTTACAGGATTTCTTGTTGAATGTATAAACTATCGAATAAAATTATTTTTGGTTGCTAGAAATTGTAATAAAATACATAAATTACCCTGTATAGCATAGTAGTAGCATATACTTCAATTTTAGTGACAAAATTACTACTAATTAGAAATCTACACTTTTGTTTTTGGAGAAATTTATATGAAAATGTTTGGAAATATGTATATTTTTATGTTTTATATGTTTCCATTCGTTACTCATACCAAAATATTAAAATATTAAAAAATTAAAAAAAAAACAATAATAATATTTTATCTGTGTGACATTTAGAACAATATTTCAAAAATAATTATGTGTGAATTTGAAATAAATACAACGTCAAGTTATTTGAAATATGTAAGAAAACTATTTTTACTTACATTTTACACTAAAAATAAATGAGAATTTGAAAAATAACACATTTATGACCCAGCCGCCATAATGGGCCTTCCAGATTTTGAAGCACTTTTGGCAATTTACTTTTCACTTTTTATACCACAAATTATATATCTACGTGTTCACTATATTACAAGGAATATAAAAAAGTATAATACTTTCGTTTTTAGTCCAGACACAAATATAAAATTCTATAAAATAGACGGAGCACCTTCATCAAAACGACACGTGGAACGCCGAAAGTTCAGAGTGATTTCTTTTTTTTTTTTCTAAGAAACATTGCCAGGTTATGGTTTAAAATAAAAGAGCATATCTTTGTCTTTGATACTATTATCTATTGCATATTGTCTTTGGTTTTGTTTTAAAGGAAAAAATAGTTTTTTCATAAGGCAGTACTTCTGATCCGACCTGATTTAATTCGACCCGTACCAGAGCCGACGTAAGGTAGGTATTGTATGATCTGATTAGATCGGTAGCCGAGTCAATGGGTTAAGCCATACCTAAGAAAATTGTAAACTTTGAAATATAGAAATGTTAATTACACTTTTTGTTTTTGTGACATTTCTTGTTTTGCCCCTGTACCCTTCATATATATATATATATATATATATATATATATATATATATATATATATATATATATATATATATTTCATATATATATATAACTTTGTCATTACGGCCCAACCTGTTACAAGTTTTGGCGGGAGCATACGTAATACGTTCGTGGCAAAAGTTAAACGTTAAAAAGATCGCGGAGACAAACTTAAAAAGTGACGCCACTCGATCACTCGTCTTCACGCGGCACTCACTACTGAGAGCACCGCGACGTTCGCTTAGGAGTCTCGTAGTTGTGCATGTTTGTGTGAGTGTGCGTGTTTTTAGCGTTGGTAGGGAGTTTCCCATAGAATACTATAATACATACATAACTGAACGAGGGAGTGGGCGGAGCCCGTGTAGCCGCTAACATGTCACTAATACGTCAGTTCACACGTATGAATGTCAACACAATCGATCGTTTCCAATTTTCGTGTCAAGCGTCGCTGCATGCAAATTATTTGAAAAATGGCAAATTGTGCAATAATTACGCGTCGAAAGGACAGCGGGAAACGGAATGTAAATAAAGGAGACATATTCTACAACCAGTAAGTGGAAACTATTTATATTTTGTGAATATTAGAAATAAAAATAAAGAAAGAAACATTTATGTGTCAAAAACATTAATCAAAAGTCTAAAATGTGTTTGTAGTAGTGATAACTGATAATACGACGTAATTGCTTGTATGTGTGCTCCCGGCGACGCCAATCCTCCTTTAAAGTAAGGTTGACAGCCATTCTGTTGTGTATGATAGTATTCTATGGAGTTTCCTAACTGTTCCTATTGTTACGAGCTTGAGGTTCGTGACAATAAAAATTGCCGATAAAATTACCTAAATTAACACTTTAATTTACTTTACACAATTAAAGTTAAAACACTAATAATTTAAACACACTGATTCACTTAATTCCACTCCGAAGCTTCGCTTGTTTCGCCCAAATCAACACTGCCTCGATCGCATCTTGCAGCGCCTATATATTTAAATTAGCAAAGAAATATCCAGAATGTTCAAGTAAACACGGGCAAGGTACCGAGCGTTCGAGTTTCGACTAGGCGCTGTCGGTTGAGTAATTTGTGATGTCATTTTCTCAATGCTCCCCTCGCTCTCGTTCCTGACACTAGATGGCGCTGGTGTATCGTTGACTGGAGCGCGTAACACTATATACTAACTGTGTAAGTAGTGTTAATTAATTTAAATAGTTAAGCATATTATCTTTCACCACATATAATCCGCAAAAAACAAAATTAATTTAATTTGTTTAAAGTCGATTTTTAAGTGAAGTATACGTTTGAATACTGATTTCTGATAAAGCACTTAACGGGAATGTTGACGGAGTTGCATATCCTTCTAACACTGATCTATGGTTTTAATTACTACATTTTTTAACCTAAAGCTAGAACATAATCACTGTTAATACATTCGGTGCGCTAATAATAGCTGAATTGACTAG